GGGAAAAATGGTCGCAAGCATACGATGAAGGTCGGAGATACGGACATATGACCACAAACCTTGTTGAGGCTATTAATTCGGTACTAAAAGGTACACGCCATCTCCCAATAGCGAGTGTGGTGAAAGAGACGTACTTTAGATTGGATAAAGTTTGGTCGGACAAAGGCAAGGAAATTGAGAGTCTCATAAATAGAGGTAAAACTTGGGCTCCTACAGTGGTGGAATCAATGGAAGCAAATGAGCGATTGGCAACATCAATGGTTGTTCATAATTTTGACCGAGTTGGTCATACTTTTGTTGTGTCGTGCATATGTCGTAACGTCGGAGGAGAAGACCAAACATTTAGAGTTGATTTACGACACAAATGGTGTGATTGTGATTGTTTTCAGGCATGGAAATATCCATGTGCTCATGCAGTCGCTGCATGTATGTATGCTGGTGTAAGCGCATACACTTATGTTGATGAATGCTTCCACCTACGTAGGATATTAAATGTCTACAGCTATGTGTTCAGACAGATACCGAATGAATCATATTGGCCCAAAAAGGATCATGATGAATGACTACCAAATCCAATGCTTCGCAGAAGTCCAAAGGGTCGACCTGAGTCCACTCGAATTCATACCAGTATGGATTTCCATGCTATAGAGAGAGGTCAAGCAAAGAGATGCGGATTATGTAGGGGTGAAGGCCATTCAAAAAACAATTGTCCTAATTTACCAAGATATAGGCCTCATCATTAGTAATCATATATGTATTTCTATGTATTTATTAATCATTATAAAAATGATTTAATAATGATTTAAATATTTAATGATTTGATGATTTAGTAATGATTTGATAATAATCATTATAATAATGATTTGATAATAATCATTATAATAATGATTTATTAATAATCATTATAAAAATGATTTAATAATGATTTAAATATTTAATGATTTGATGATTTAGTAATGATTTGATAATAATCATTATAATAATGATTTTATAATAATTATTTAGTTATTATTTAGTAATTATTTATAATAATGATTTAATACTAATGATTTAATAATTATTACTAATAATTATAGAATACTAACAAATGAGTGTACAAGTGTGGATTATTGAGTTTAAATTTATACATAGTCGAATTTATTAATGATTTTTAAATATTTAATGATTTGATACTAATGATTTACTAATTATTATTAATAAGGATTTATTGTTAATATTTAATTATTTGATACTAATGATTTAAAATAGTTGATTTACTAAATATTTAATTATTTGATACTAGTAATGATTTGATACTAAAAATCATTGTTAAGGTTAAAAAACTAGTCTAATTTCAATAAATAATTTGTAATAAATAGCAAACGAGTTTACAATTGTTGTCGATGCCGGGGTGTTGTTGAATGATAATGTCGGGGCGGACGTCTGATACGTTGTGGCCGTTGTGGCTCAGGAGTATTGTACCCATCCCCCTCATTCATTGGGGGTATTTGAACTGTCATGTGTTCAAAGTCATACGTCGACGAAAACGTAGGAGAATAGATGGGTGCCTCAGGCTGCACAAACTCTGGTATGTATGACGGGACAGTAGAATCATCAACTGCGTGATGCAACGATTGTGGTGCGCTATTATCCACATCGGTCATTTCCGCTTCAGGTTGTAGAGATGAACTCCCACTCCCACTCGGTAGAGAGTATTCAGCTTTACCAAATCTTTTCTTAAACCTCAAAAATTGTCGCCTCTCTACTATTGTTGTGAGGAACGGCTTTCCATTATCCAAAAAATAAGCAAGGTAAGCCGAAGTCTCAAAATTAAAGTCGTCGTCTTGAATGGCGTCAAGAGTTGGCATGAATGAAGCCCTATTGTTCCAAGCATTAATGTAGGTTGCATGCTTCTCAACCCAATTAACGCTTTCTTTACGACGACCATCAAATCTGTGCAGGTCGTCATGCGTCTCAACCCAATTCACTGGACGACGACCATCTAAGTTTTGGAGGAGGTCATGATCCCATGGACTCCGCGGAATAGGTTGGTGGAAGTGGAATTGCCTCAGCACTCTATCCCCAAATTGGATTTCAACAAAAGCAAAATTGATCAATGGTGTAACAGCACACCAATATTGAAACCCATCTAAAATATCGTGCGGTATCAACGCAAATAATTCTTCATTCATGTATGGTCTCCAATTAAACTGTAAAATTATAAAAACAATAAAATTGATTTAAATCAAATAATATAGTTAATTTAAATAATAATTAAAAAATACAGATTATGCATACCTCCTTTTTGGCCTTAATGTCGATCTTCAACCTGAACTCTTTAATGTTGTTGTGCACCAACCCTGTGCCTTCAATTTTATGCCTCCATCTGTATATCAATCAAAACAAAAATAGAGACATTTTGTTCAGTAATTTTAATCAAAATAAATATTTTTTAATTAATATTTTATATTAAAATAGATGATTCATATTACCTTCCGGCAAGTGGAAAGTCAACCGCAGTCCGACTAATCGGTGTCAAAAACGGAAGTCTATGCCAAGCCCATGATTGTAGCAGCAACAGACATCCACCGATTTCTTCTGTATTATTATCATTCACGACTAATGACGCCTTGCACATCTCACGATACAAGAACGCCAATATCGCCGAACCCCAGCTATATTGCCTACAATTCTCAAAATTTGTTAAAAAAAGAAGATAATGAGTGTGAACATAACTACCAGATTTATCAGGCATCAAAATTCCCCCAATCAATTGTAATATATATGCTCGTGTTGCATATATAATTTCGTGCTCCGTACTATTTGGTTGAAGTTGAAATTCATTCTTCAACCATGACAACCTCACCCGCCACCCTCTACACTCTGGTGCTACGGGCGCTTTCCCAAGAAACAAGTTGCAAAGTTGTTCCACCTTATTAAACTCATGTGACATTACCACCGGCATCCCATTAGTTTGGACCCCGAGTTGCATTGCCACATCCTCCAAAGTTATCGTGCATTCGCCACACGGCAAATGAAACGTGTGCGTTTCTGGTCTCCAACGTTCAATCAACGCACTGATCAAACCTGGGACCAACTTGTAATCTCGCACAAATGTTATATACCAAAATCCAGCCTCTTGCAAATTTTCTTCTATCAGTGGGTGTGGCTTGGGCACTTTATGTAGTCGAAGACGAAGGACTCGCTGCTCGTCCTCCTACAATTAAATATTTCAAAAAAATTATCACAATCATAAAATAATATTCAAATATTTATTAATTATAATTCATTAAACAAATATTTTATTCACCATTATTCTCAAATGACTTGAAATATGCTCATTGTCAAGCCTCAACAGTGGAATTTGGTCAGCCATTGGAATGAATCTGTAAAAAAAATTAAACAACAATATTTAAAAAATCATTTAATATAATCTAATATAACTAACTAACTAATTTACAACACTAAACTTTAATATAATAACTTATAATATAATAAACTAATAAACTAACAAACTAAACATTTTAAAATATAAGTTAAACGTAAACGTTAAACCCTTAAACAACTAATAAAATATTCTTTTATATAACTAAAACTAACTAATAAACTATTTTTTCATTATAATATACTACTAATAAACTTACTAACTAATTTTTTATATAATATAAATTCAACAAACAAATATAACTTAACTATTTAACTAACACAAACTAATTAAATAATTTTTTTATATAACTAACTATTAACAAAACAAACTAATTAATTATTTTTTAACTATATAACTATCAAACATATACTAATTAAATAATTTTTAATTTATGTATACTATAACTTAAACTAACAATCATATAACCCTAAACTAACAAACTAATTAACTGCTTTTTTATTTACCCTAAACCCTAAACTAACAAATTAAACATTTATACTAATAAACTAATTTAAATATAAAAAATTTTACCTTATCTCCCTTTCTTCTTCTTACTTTCCTTTCTCCCTTTCTTTCTTTCTCGGCTGCAATCTCTTCTCCCTTTCTTCGGCTGCAATCTCGGCGACCAAGCTATGGCGACCAAGCTATGGCTGCAATCTCTTCTCCCTTTCTTTCTTTCTTTTATGTTCTCACGATAATGCACACCCCATATATAATTTAGGTGTCACCGGCTGCCTCAATTATTTCACCAATAATTATGCAATTGCAGCTATGATAGCAACTGATTTCACGCAGCAATGGTTCAATAATTGTACCAATAATTCACGGCTCAAATGGTTCACATGCATGCATCAATAGCTGTAGGCATGCAGCGGGGAGCAGGAGGGAGCACGTGAAGGAATCTCAGTTGTGGCTGCATGTGCATGCATGAGGTCTCTTGAGCTAGGACTACATGGGGACTACATGGCGACCTACTTGGTCGCCGGGACTACATGGCGACCTACAAGGTCGCCGGGACTACATGGCGACCTACAAGGTCGCCCAGACTGCATGGCGACCTCTCCATTGGCTCGTATGGCTCGTATAAGACTGCATGGCGACCTCTCCTCGTATAAGACTGCATGGCGACCTCTCCATTGGCTCGTATGGCTCGTATATGGCTTGTATGGCTCGTATGTCACCCCGTATGGGTCGTATGTCACCCCGTATGTCGCCTGGATTGCATGGCGTCCTACAAGATCGCCTGGATTGCATGGCGACCTATGGCCATCACTGTAGAATTCACCCCATTTCAACAATTAATCTGGGATGTGCATTATATCGTGAATAAAAAAGTTCGAGAACATTATCTCGTGAATTCACCCATTAGAACCCACCTCGTCCACGACTCTCGAGTGTTGAAGCATATAGTTATAAGTTAGCTTCAACGAACAATATAAATTTAGTAATTTAAATGGCATAAATTTTAGAATTCAAAACTCTGAAACATTTATGCGAACACTGTGAAGAACCGGTGAGCTGAAGACGGTGAACGGAAGTTAATGGAGGATCAAGAGAATTCTAGCAGAAGCTAAGACTAAGCTAAGACGGTGCATTAAACAGATACAAACACCCAAGTATTTATAATAGCCCAGGCTCAACTGACCTGGATCGGTTACAACAGAAACAACAACAGATTATTATACTCTATCAAACATAACATCACATAAGCCCCAAATGCACAAGAAACAAACTTTTATTCTACAAATTTATTTATTCAAATTCCATAAACTAGGAGGCATGAGTTTCGAGCATGGAGCAGCAGGTTGTGTAATAGTCTAGCAGGGCGGGTAGTAGCAAGGCTTATAACCACCACCGCCGGGGTACGTAGGATATCCGCTACCAGAAGGAATGGGATCCGGAAGATTTGTACCACCATAACCAATGGGGCGCGTAGGATATCCATTTCCACTGTTTCCGTATCCCCTGTTACCATAATACCCATACTTGGACTCTCCAAGGTTAGCTTTGGTTTTTTGGGTACCTGCAAATAAACCCATTTTGTCATTTAACCGAGACGACAAGTTAAAAACAAACAATTAGTAATTTAGGAGGTGCTAACCATGGTTCTTTTCGGTGGTAGCTTCGGCAAGGTCTCTGGCTGCCACTTTCGAGGAAAGGAGAAGCACAACAAGTGCAGCTAAAAGAGCAAGGAAAAGGAAGCTCTTGGAATTGGAACCCATATCTGATTTCCTTTCTTTTCTAAGGATGCTTAAAAGAAGGCAAACTCTGTCTCTATTTATAGGCACCGTGAGTCTGAGACGGAGTGTAACTAACGCACAAACATTACCCTTCCACGACGCAATGTAGGTGGGCCGTTGAAGAGTCGCCGAATAGTACATGAAACCGTCAATTTCTGCTGTGTAAAAAATCTAGAGCCACGCCAATGCCGTTGACGTCCGTCTCACCCCACAAACGTAAGATTATTATACCGTGATTTTCTGTGCGGTGTATACAGATTACCTTCATATTCATGTGATGTAATCCTTCAAATTAATTAAAATTTTGTAACTAAATAAAATATGAGATCATAAGCACGAACCAAATATAAAAATAATTGTTATTCTTTGAGGTCTTAAGTTCGAGTGTTAGGAATATCAACGGTATAAGTATTCAATGTCAAATGATAGAGAATTATCCATGAACAAATAATACCTTGTACTTATCTTATATTATACTTGTATGTTACTAGGGTTATTTACAAGATCATAAATATACAAATGAATTTATTATTTATTTATTGATATCGCCCATTTTCTCCAATATGTATGTTACTCTATAAGATCAAAATCGAATATTCAAGATCTCAACATCTAAATTATTATTTTTATGGCGAATTCAAATATATTATTTCATTTAATTTACTATTTATGATGATTTGATATGATAAATATTGAAATATTTAATTTATATTAATTTTATTGTGATTTAAAATATCAAGATAATTTATTTTATGTGAATTTTAAATATCGTTTCTACCATTATATATATATATATATATATATATATATTATGTAATTATGTGATATCAAATATTAAAAATTGAGGTTGAGGTCAACAAAATGTTAACCCATTTCATAGGGCGTATACTTTTCCGATTCTCTTATCCAAGTCAACACTCTTGGTAGGACTCGACTTCTCCTGGTAAAGTTAGTTTAGTCATCCGTTTGTCTTTGATTGATAAAAAACTGGGTAAATTACACTAGTTATCATTTAATTATTGTTACGTTTTATTTTGACTATTGATGTTTTGATTTCATCGGACCATTCAACTATTTAAATGTTTGAATCAAACTATCATTCTTAACTTTTAAGGGAGGAGGTTGCATGAAATTAGAAAAAATTGGTATAATTACATATTTGATCCTTAATATTTATATATTCTCATTTTGATCATAATTTAATTCAATTAAAATAAATTTAATCTCTAATTAGATGTCAATTCCTAATTGGAGTTTTTTTTTTTAAATTTTATTTACTTAATCCATTAAAATTTTTATCCAACAAGATGATGATACATGTCACCACACTATTAAAGAGGGAAAATAAATGGGAGAGAATGCACTAGAGAGGATCTGGACTTGGAACATCACCAGTTCACCACTCAAATGAACCACCATATTGTTTTGTACTACAATATTTTTTATATAATTTATTCCAGTTAATGACATAAAATATAAAAAATGACACCAAGGGGATTTGAACCTGAGATTAAAAGCATAAATAAATCCACATAACCACTAAATCAAAATTACATACTAAAAGAAAATTTTTAGTATGTTTAATATATTTTTGAATTTTGTTATGTAAAAAATATTTTTAAATTTTATTTATTAATTAAAATTTAATATTATATATTTATTAATTATAATTTAATATCATTATGGATTATTTTTCTATTAAATTATATTAATAATTTATACATTAAAAGTTATGAACTATTTTTTCTATAAAAACATAATTTATTATATATATATATATATATAACAATTAATAAACATATATAATATTAAATTATAGTTAATAAAAAAATTAAGAATATTTTTTATATTAAAAAATATGAATATATAAAATATATTAAAAAAATTCTTTAATAATATAATTTAATATTATATAATAAATTATAATTTAGAGGAATAATATATAACAAAATTTATGAATATACTAAACACATTAAAATTATACTTTTAAGTAAGTTATTTGACTTAATGATTATCGTGGTTTCATCTATAGTTTCAATTTTAGGTTTAAATCCCTATGATAATATTTTTTTCTATCATTAACTGGAATAAGTTATATAAAATCAAATAGGAGACTTAGTTGAGTGGTTCAAGCTGGGGGTTAACATCTAGGATATCTCAGGTTTAAACCCTTCTTAATGCATTATCTCCCTTCTATTTTCTCTCTTTAGTGAGACACGTGTCTCCACTTTATTGGATGAAAATTTTAGTGGATTAAATAAAAAAACCGTTGGGTTTAATAAAATACACACCGTCGTCACATCTAATTGAAGATTAAATTTATTTTAATTAAATTAAAGTATACCCAAATTAATAGAATATTAATGATCAAATATGCAATTATATCAAGTTTTTTAACTACCACGTCGCCTCCTCCATTAAAAACTAAAAAGTTACGTGGTCAAATTAATTAAATCGAAACATCGATAATTAAAATAAAATCTGACAATAATTAAATGGTCACTAGCTCTAGTTTATAATATCGTAGTTAGTTCTAGGGAACATTTATTGTAGATACTGCATAGAGCATATAAGTTTTGAAAAAAAAAATAACTTTCTTTTTAGTTTTTCATTGAATTAATTTATAATTACATAATTTCTTAAGAGATTAGATGATAAGATTGATTTTGGTGAAATTGAAAGTAACAATAAGATCAATTAACAATGAAATATATTTGAATGCAAATACTTATGCCTCAAGGTGCCATTAAACGGATCCAATATAAAACAACAAATATACGTTATACCATCAGGAATTATTGTTATTTATTGAGGACTTAAATTCGAGTACTATGTAAGTCAAGGGTTGATGTTCAATGTTTGAGACTTTGAACAAATACTATCTTGTATTCACTCCAAATTAATAAAATAAAATAAAAACTCATTATACTACCGAGCTTGCACACTCCAAAGGTTCGACATTCATGGTACAAATGAGTGACACCTACCTCTAATCAATCTCACCCTGGAGCTAATGCATGTTGTTCTTATCCATGCACATCCTACTTCATGCAAGGCTGTATTTAAACTACATCTTGTATGAAAGCACTAACATCTTTATCAAACACACATTTAAAGCATAACATATGTATTAAACATAGTGGCAAAATGCCCATGGTAAGCTAGCTTTCATTATTGCTGTTCATAGTAAATTTGAGATATGGAACGCGATTTCCGTAAAAGTAACAACATCCATCTAATAATGACATAATCAGCACTTATAAATACCTAATGGGAGAAACCCCAGATTTTGCAGGCTTCTTAACAGAGCATCAACCATATCTCTCTTGTATCATTTATGCAAATCATTCGAACAAAGGCAATTCCAAAACCCTAGATCTTATCGATGTCTTCATCTTCAAACTCGACATAATCATCTGCACCCCCTTCATCTTCCTCGTCGACAATGCCTTCATTGAGACGCGTGTTCTCGGGAAGCTCGCCGTATGCTTTCAAGAGCCTTGCTTCATCAGGCATGTACTTAAGGATCACATCAGCCTTGTCATCCTGATAGTCACGAAGTCCAACGAGAATTATATCACCAGCAGCGATCCAGACCTTCTTATGCATCTTCCCACGGATATGGCAAAGGCGCTTAGTACCATCGATGCACATGGCTTCACAACGGCCATTTCCCAGCATACGAAGCACTTGGGCATACTCTTGCCCATCTTCCTTGAATACAAGTTCACGCTTTTCATCGTCGGCTTCATTCTTTCCTCTCTTCCTGTTCTTTCCTCCCTTCCCCTTGTTCTTCGGCATGGTTTCTTCTTGCTGTTTGTACCTACCAGAACAAAGGTTCATTTACAATCACAAGCGCCAAATGCACAATATCATCACAAATGAAGATGGATATTGGCAATAACATCACCATACATGAAACAAACTAGACATTCTGATAATTCTCATCTCATGATAAATATTAAACAAGGATTCTTTAGGGTGAAAAATTAAACAAGGTTACTAAAAATTGGGAAATTTTATATATCTTTACTTTAATAGCAATAAAAAAAACTAATGGGGGAATATAAGCCATCAAATATTAAACATAGCATGCTTGAATTAGTCACATAAAGAAGTATTATATGATAAAGAAATTAAACAGAGTCTGAACCATCACGACACAACCACTAAATGATAAACTTTTGCAAAACAACAAAAGAAAAAGAAGTGAAATTTCATCAAGATCAATCTACCGCAACTGATTGACGAAAAATTGAAGCAGAAATATAAATCAAAATAGAGAAAATCAACGAATACCTTTCTGGGCTGCTGCGTTTAAAACGCTAAAGAGATGAAGAAGAATATAAAAGAGCAAATTGCTAGAAACGAATTTGATTCTTCCACTCCAAATTCCAAAATGTCAAAACCCTTGCTTAAGAATTCCGCTAAATATTGCATTCACATTCAAAACCTGGGTTTGGGTAACTGACCTGAACCGGGCCGCATGTTGTCACATCAAGTTGCAACTTTCTTCGTCCTCTAAATCTATATCATGGGCTTTCTATCACAGAGAAAACCCAACCATGGATAACAAGGGTCTTAGATGCCACTAATATAATATAAATATTTCCACTGATAAAATATACGAGATTAATTTCGATTTATTTACTGGAGTCATGAGTAGATTATAATTGTTGTATCGTCTAATGATTTTAAACATCGAAAAAAGGATAATTCTATTTTAAGGAGATTATATATATCTCAACATACTTGGTTGTAAACTCATTCAAAAAAATTACCTGTTCAAATGAATTTTGGGGTCTCATGTGTCCTTATCCTCCGAGTTCTTTGGTAACATCCGATAATTTATATATATTTTTTATAGTGATAATATTTATGTATACAGAATCCAATATTGAGAAGAAGCTATGATTGGTGGGGTGAATGGCAATTCATAAAGGAAGGATTAGGGCATCCATCCCGATCTCTGTAAATTAAGCAGGGCCTCGTGTTTAAAGCATAACCAATCCTTTTAGGCTCAAATATGTTAGATTCCCGACCAAATCATGTGTGTTCACTGTTTTGGTCAGTACAAGTTGTCAACTACCTTGCAACAAATTGATCAAAACCACATAAACACCTATAAAGATTACTGTCACACACTTTATTTGATTAATATGATTAAATATAAGATGATATGTATTTAAAGATAATTTTTAATCGTTTAATATTAAATAATCAAACATAGTGCTTGAAATCGTTGTTTTAAAAAATAACAATGATTCTTTTATTATCGAGATAGTTTAATTCATACTTATTATCATGCACTTACTTTAGAGACGAGTATCTTTAAATAATAAAATAAAGTTGAAAATAAATATTTTTAAATAATTATTAAAATTTAAATTAATCATACAATAGTATTCGAATAAAATGATTAGAATATAACCTAAAGTTTGATGACAAAATAAAAACAATAATTTTACGAGGAGGATGGATGGTAATGAAAGAATAAAATAGAACACATGGTGTGTTGATGATAAGATTCACGTGCCCATCATCGAGAAGCTCAGTCAAGTGAGGTAACCCGTAACCCTGTCGTTCTTTTTCGCTTTATTTTATTTCCAATAGTCGAGGGAGACAGTATATAAAAGGGTAAATTACACGAAAACCACTAAATTATAAATTTGTTTTTTATTTTAATTATTAGATAAAATTTGTACCAATTCTATTATTAAATTTTATATTTAGTTTTAATTAAGTTATCAAAGTTAACTACGAGTGAAATTACTAATATGAAATTTAAATAAATTTATATAATAATATATGTGATCCTTATTATTTATATATTTGGTCAAATTGATCTTAAATTAAATTTTAAAACCCTAGAAAAGTTAACACAGAAATGATCTTAAATTTTGAAGGTTAATGCTATTCAGCGGTCAAAATAGCCTTAACCTCATAATTTAGTGATCTCCAGATTAGTTTACCCATATGTAAATACTTTCTCTTTTAGTACGAAAAATCATTCAAGTACAATCTTTCTCCCTTCACTCCGGATTCAGAAAGCGCCTGTCTTTTAATATCGTAGACGCAATTAAATAAGAATCCATTCAAACCTCTCTCTTTGATCAACCAAAATCTCAGTATCTTTCCTTTAACTGGAAACTCTTCGTTTCCCAAGGTAATACCAAAAAAAAAAAGGCTGGGTCTTTAGTTTTGTTGCTTTTGTCGATCTGGGTATCGTCGGGAACTCGTAGTTGCTTAATTTTGGGTGGTGAGTGTGAGTGGGGATGAGGAAGAGGGAGAGGGAGAATCCGTGTTGGATATGTGGGCACTATCACAAGTACGAGGAAGGGGAAGTTTGTGGGATATGTGGGCATAGAACTCCTGTCTCTTCCGACAAGACATCGCTTCAAGTCAGTGCTTTCCCATCGGAGATCTTGCCCGACTTTCTCTATTTGGGTAGCTATGATAACGCCTGTCGCTCCGAGCTTCTAAAGACTCAGGGAATTACTCGTGTTCTTAATGTAACCCTTCTCCTTCTTCCTCCTCGTTTCCATTTTTTTATTATTTCTGTTTGCGATGGTAATACTATCTGCTTATGGTTTTATTTTGATTTAAATTTATGGATTTTGGGATTAAGAATAATTTGGAAAAGTTGGCTTATTACTGTTTACTAATTGGAACAAGAAAGCGTTAATTAGGATTAGGTTTTGTGTTGTATGTTGAGGTTTGTATTCTGCTACTTGAAGAACTTTGATGGGATTTCTCTATTTTAAGTATTTGAATAAAGATTACATTGGGATTTCTGTATTTTGATGGTAAAGATTAGATTAGAAAGTTTTCCATCCTTAATAACAAGCAAAGCCTATAGGAGGAAGATCTTGTAACTTTGTTGATGTAGAAAATTCCTTTGTCAGTTGTAGTTCCAATTATGGAAGTCCTGTTGTTATCTGTATGCTTAGGGGCGTGGATGAAAGATTGGTTACAGCTTTGGGAATACTGTCAACTTAATAGGAGCACTATCCAGCTCCAAAGGATTTACTTAGATAATGGAGTATATTCCTTGGTGCTTCTATTTGTGAATAAGGCTAACATCATGTTTATTAATGATAACTTGGAAACATGGGGAAGAAGTTTGATATCAAATGTGTGATATTGATGTGAGGCAACACCAGAACAGGTTGTATGAGTGCAATTTATCGAACTTAGCCCTCGAATTAACTGAAAGATCTGATAGTCAAACAGTATTAAGAGCGATTCTGTTGCTTTTAGGTCCTTTAGCCTTCAAGAGGAGAAAATGAGGGTGGAATAATCATAAATTGAAGTTGTAAGATTTTCGTTACTTGAATTATAAAATAGCTTAGAATAATGATAATTTGAAGATGAGGGTGAATGATTAATACAGTGTTAAATATTGAATGTTACTGAATCAAATACATCATAATTGAGATAGATATGTGCATCAAACGTTTTTTTTACTACTGTGATAAGGTTTCCATTGTAAAGTGTAATAGGCCTGAGGAAAAATTGGGATTGTGGACTTGCACTACCACAAGTATGTTTTTGATGCTGAAATTATAACCGTTAAACTAAGCAAGCCAGTAGTTTGCGAACTTCCAACGCTATCGGTGATGTGATTGGAAGGATCGTCATGGGAATGTTGTAGGATTGATGGTATCAAGATCCATTCATTTTCGTTTTTCATTGTGCAGTTTGTTCTCCTCTTTGTTTGATGTTGCGTCCGCTAAAATTCATATTGGTGGCTCTGCATCTAAATTGTAGCTTACAGTCATGGCATATTCTTATTTTGTTTACAATATTTCTTTGCAGACTGTACCTGCTTGTCAAAATCTCTACAAGAATTCATTTACCTATCACTGTCTGCAAGATGACAAAATTTTACAATTTGATGATGCAATACAATTTTTAGGTACGTAACCATTGTGTTTCATCGTGAAGCTTCAGTTGTGGTTGAAATGTTAATTTTGGTATCACGTCATTTGTGCGAGGCTTTGTTATTCCCTCTTTCATGTATCGATTTTCTTTCTTTGCAAATTTCAAGAGATTGGTCTGAGCAGAATTTAATAATTCACCCTCTCTTTAGGTCATGAGAAGCATTTACTGAATATAATTTCTCTTTTTATAGTTTCGTAATGAGACACTTCTTGGTTTTCTCAATTCTCATCTATAACTGCAGGTATTCTGCTGCATGTTCACAATATTGAAACCTTTCTGCAATATTTTCTCTACATCTCAATCACTTTTTCCAACTTTATAATCTTGTCGGTTTGCTTGCAGATGCACGAACAATATGTAATTAGTAGTTGTCGGTCGTATTGCAGTGGCTCAGACACTTCCAGTTGACATGTTGCATGATTTTTACATTTTCGTTGGCATATTATGACCTGTGGTTCATTTCTGCAGAGCAATGCGAGAGGGATAAGGCTCAAGTCCTTGTGCACTGCATGTCAGGGAAAAATAGGTTGATTCTACTACTACATTCTTTCCTTAACCTCGTAATACTCATTAAAACAAACACAAGCTTATTGAAGTTGTTTTTCCTCTTTTTTCTTTCGTTATACTAGAAAATATTGAAACTTTGCATATAGAGTATGGTGGAAGAATCTAAGGCTATACAGACTCTCATCAAGACCAATGCTTGGGTGTGTACGCCCATTTAAATGAAACAAATTGTCTGAGGATGTTTTTATTCTTTGCAACAGGTCACCAGCTATTGTAATAGCTTTCTTGATGAGATCTAAAGGATGGAGGCTTCCCCAAAGCTATCAGTTTGTGAAAGAACGAAGACCGTCCGTTGATATAAATCAAGGTATTTATCATCCCCGACATAGATTGCCTAATATCATGGAAGCCATTTTGTGTCGCTTTTTCATCCACTTAATTGAAACCACAGGGATATCACTTGGTATTATTTGGATGAGGAGAAAAAGACCGTCGTAATATCTTTTATGATGTTCATTCCAGTGTGATCTTGAGGCTGCTATTATTAGTTTTTGATATATGATTCCCGAAAGCGGCACTATCTTCTGATTTTTATTTGCTTGTGATTGGTAGCTATCTACCAGCAGTTGCAGGAATACGAGCAAAAGCTCTTTGGATCATCAAATAACCATAATCCTGCTTTGCTTGCCTTCCAACCTGCTGGAGCCACGTTCAATGTCGGTAATCCAGTTCCAGTTGGTCTTCCGCCTTTAGAAGTTCCACCGCTCAAGTTCACAATTGGTGCAGCAGACCCAGAGAAGAATCTCTGAAAACTTGGCAAACCCTAGTTGCAGAGATATTCCAATGGGTAACACTTAATTTGGCTGTAAATTACTAGTAAATGTTTTTCTTTCTTGCATGTTAGATGTGTCTAGTTTGTGCGTTGCGTCGCTGGGTGCCTTATAATGTAATGAAACACAGTCCTGCTCGTTCCAAATTTTATATACATATATAACTTCTCTTGTTTTCCGTTTCCAGAATAAATATCTAATTGTTTTGGAACTGTTTCATGTAACCTTTTGTCTTGTCATATATGCTCTCGCCATTATAAGAGGATAGGCATCGGTAAATGTACACGTTATCATATCATACTATAAAAGGAAGTAAAAAAGAAAAGAAATTGTTTCCAACCGCCTTTCCTCATCCACTATGAAGGTTCAGCTCAATGGTGCTCTTGGTCCGGCTTTTAAACCATCTAAAGGAGTCAGACAGGGAGATCCCTTGTCTCGTCTCCATATCTTTTCATCCTGATCGTCCATTTAATCACTAAAGCAGTTGCTGAAAACGTTGGATTCCATTTCAATTCGCTCGTGGTGGTCTCCCCTTATCACACTTATTTTTCGCTGACGATCTCTTTCTTTATGCAAAAACCACAAGAGATCAAGACAACTTAATTGATTCTGTCCTTGCTGATTTTTGAAGCTATTCAGGACATCGAGTTAACAAAGATAAATAGAAGATTTTCTTCTCTTCGAACACAAATGGTGGATGAAATTTGCGCTCAGCTTGGAATCCAACGAACTAATGACCTGGGAACTTACCTTGGCACAGTTGGTCTATTGCGGATGGCTCCTCCATTCACTTTTGGCAGGACAAATGGATCCCGGGACTTCCACCTCTTTCCAACTTTCGATCTAACATGGCTGTTCTTAATGAGGATCTCATGGTCAACGATGTTACTCTGCAGAACGACTTTTGGAACTTGTCTCTTCTAAGTCAACTCCTGCCAGGAGCAGTTCAACATATCCAAAGCGTTCCTCCTCCTGCTCTTAATACAGGGTCCGACCGTTGCATTTGGGAACATGTTAAAAATGGAAGATTTTCAATCAGTTCTGCTTACATCCAAATTTCCAATTCCAACTGGTCCCCTAAGAGCAGTGCTTGGAATTTGGTGTGGAATCTTCATGTTCCTGAATGTATAAAGCACTTCATTTGGCTTTCGCTCCATGACCGAATCCTCACAAATATCAACAGGTGGAAGAGGAAACTCACCAACGATCCGACTTGTGTAATATGTGGTTCCAGTGATGAATCAACGTTGCACACTCTACGTGATTATAATGAATCAAAACAGCTTTGGGGCTTTGCCATCGCCAATCAATATACTGCCAACTTCTTCACGCTTCCCTTTGATCATTGGATCCTTTCTAATATTAGCTCTACTCGACCTTACACAGGTTCGGATATTCCTTCGAATATTGTGTTCTCTCATCTAGTAGATTTGGAAACGTCGAAACTCCATGATATTCAATGAGGAAGGTCATTCAAATGCCGAGATTTTCAACAGTGGCATTTCTTGGGCTAAACATTATGCTCAAGCTCCTCAAGTTGTCCATCGCTCTCGTCAGTTGGAAACTGTTCAATGGTCGCCCACGCCCAGTGATTGAATTACTCTCAGCACTGACGGAGCAATGAACTCCCACTCTTCCCTTAGCACTGCAGCGGAATCCTCCGAAACTTGGCTCGTGGGCTTCAACAAATACACTGGCCGATCTACCATTATTCAAGCAGAACTTACAGGTATTTATGAAGGTCTAACGCTTGCTTGGAGCCATGGTTATAGCAAGGTCCAATGCCAAACAGATAGTGCTGATGCCTTCAAATTGATCACCGCCGATACTTCCCCAACTTCTCCAATCGCTCTGGTTCGCATGATTAGCCAATTCACCACTAAGAACTGGTCTTTAGACTTCAACCTGATCAATCGTGAAACAAATTCTGCTGTAGATAGCCTAGCCAAATCTAAAACCAATGACGACGATCCATTCGTATCTTTCGGACAGCACCAAACGCTCTCCAAAGCACTCTTAACCAATATATCCTCGATCCCCCTATCATAGGTCTAGTACCTCTTTAATGTAAAGGTTCTTGCCTCATTATTCATTAAAAAAATTAAATCATTGATTCCAACCCAAATTCTTTCTTTACAAAACATTTCTGAAATTATTACAACAGAAATACCCAATCCTGTATCTATATCTGTATCTGTTCATGTAATTTCTTCACCATTTTGAATGTCTATATTAACACATATCAGAGGTTTATGATAAAACTAGCAAGCAATATATGTTTCGAGGGAGGACATGGCAAGCCATAAAAGACCAGGATCATTCCGCTTTAACGCTATGTAAGTTTCGTCCAGTGTAACATCTTCACTGAAACCAATCAAGAGAAGAATTTCCATGGCCGCTGCAACAACAGAAAAATGTAATATAGATAAAGAAAGATCAAGAAAGAATGAGGGGAAAGAATAAGAAGAAACAAACCTTTGTAATTTGCAACGTTTCTTTGGATTATAGGATTGGCCTGCAACATAGATGGTTATTAGTAAGTAACCACGGATCAGGCGTAAAAAAGGATTCCACATAAAAGAGAAACTACAACGGGTTAACTCATGGAAATAAAGCATTTTCCTCAAGTGTAACAACCATTCTACCTTCCGGAGTCTTCTAAATTTCTTTTCATCTGGGTGTTCAATCACATTCCTGCCAACAAAGAAAATAATTCCAGCTTTTATCAGTACCTTAGCTCACAAAACAAAGACAAAAATGTATGCCAAGCAGATGCATAGTACCAATGCTTTATTGTGTTGAATGGAGGATAGAATTTAAGGACAGTTGAGCAAGAATACATGCCTAATGATCTTAAAAAGAGTTTGCAGAACAACAGTTGCCTCTGTGGGATTAACTTCAGCTCGTAACATCTCAATGGCATTCTGTAGATGGCTACAAACACCAGTCACAGAGTCTTGGATTCTTTGTAGTTCTTGATCATCCAGATTTGGCTCATCAATTTTCATATCAGATATTCCCAATGGTGGCAATAACCTATCATCTGAATGAGGCTCTGCTTCTGCTATTTCATTTGCTTTAGCATCATCAGGGCCGGGTTCTTTATGAGCTTGATCTTTCAAGGTTTCAATTGTTATGTTATGATGAGGATCATGACGTCCTCCGTTTGCAAATCCTGAAATCTTGGATTGTGCGTCTCTGTCATCAGGATCTGGTTCATCTATGATATCACTTCTCTGAACCTTGGTGTCCGGAATCAGCATCGCCACAGATTCAACTACATTTTCAGAACTTGAAAATGCGCCTGAATCATCAAGATCAGGCTCTTCACTTGAACTCATGGCTTCTGGCTTCCCCAGAGTTGTCTGAGAATCGTTTTGAGCAGGATCAGAATGATGTTTCAGTTGTAGAGTTTCACCACGCAGCAAATCATCTGGATCAGGTTCAAACTTGTTTTGATTGTCAGAAAGATCATCAGGATCGGGTTCATAAGCATGTTTACCCTGAGCCCTAATTTGACTTTGAATATCTAGATTTTCATCTCCATCATGCATATCCAACACGGGATCATCAGGGTCTGACTCATCATGTGTTTTGGATGCTTCCACATTGGAAGAAGTGTTTATTAGACGATGATAAGCAGCAGCCACAGCAGAGGCACGAGCATTTTCCAGCAAAGTTGACACATTTCCACCAACTTTCTGAGAATTTCTGCCATTTTCAACATAATAATCTTCTTCAGAGTTATCTGAATGTCTGATTCCACTTAAAGTGTGGGCCCTGGATTTGGTCCAGTCTAGGCTAGCAGCTTCTTCATTCAACTGCAGAAAAAGAAGTAACATTAAATCAAAACAATAATTTTTTTGTCAATGCAATAATCGACAATGAAACACGGTTTCCTGCAAAAAAAAGTGTGCATGGAAAAGGTAGTTTTACCAGTTTATCCAGGGCGTAAAAATTTGAATCATGTTCAGAAAATACCATATGAGCCTGAAATATACAGAAGCACAATTCTCAATCAGTTGTTTGTTAATTGACCACCTCCCTCCTTAGGGATTACACTAATTAATCATTGTTAACATTTGTACAACTGGTAATTGAAATTTATTCAATAAAGCTTACAAGTTCGTGTAGAAGAGTTTTCTTTATGCTCTCATATTTCCTGAATCCTTTGAGGTCATCAGTTCGAAGACGGAGAGATATCTCTTCCCCATGATTCTGAAAGAACAAATAAGAATCAACAATGAAAGATAATTGGAAGTAGAGAAGTTGAAAATTTTAATATACGTTATTTTTATATGCTTAAATAGATGCCATTACCTTATTAAAACCTAGAATGCATTTGGGACTCACACCAACATAACCAATGGGAGCCATCTCAGTCATTATTCCCACACGCCATTGATGCTTTACAAAAAGGACAAGCAGAAAATAGTTTAGTTGAGCTTATAGAATCAGTTAAGCGAAGTAGTAGATTAAATATAGATCCCGTGGCACCTTATTCATGACAGCAATGATTCCAGGGTCTGAAGCAAGCATATGCATCCTTCTTAATGCCTCAGAAGCAGGAGGGTGTAACTGGTAAGAGATAGTTATCAGGAATATTAAAAAAATGAAATGCTTGCTTGTCATTTCCTTGAATTCAAAAACTGACAAATAGCACATGAAGAACACAGTTTAAGATGTCTGGTGCAATTTATATGCATCTCTAAAAGTGCAAAATCAGGAATCTAGAGCCAAAAATCATTTCTCTATCAATAAACGTTCACTTTGTTTGTGTAAAAAACTTAAATTGCCAATATAATCCAAGTGAAACTTGATAAACAGAAATTGCATCAATGGAATTTTTTCATTATTCATTACTTAGATTTGATTTGTCAATGATAATGAATTCAGAAGTACCTCTACTCCTGGAAGTTGAAGAGTGCGGAAATCACAAAAGATATAAGGCCCTTGAGGAAGTCTTATCGAAACACGGGAGGGTCCATCTAACATTCGCTGCCTTAGTCTCCTTTCTTCTTCACTGAATCCAATTATTCTCTGGTCCACTTTTGAATATTGAATAACTCGGTCAACTTCATCCTGAGGAGCCCCCATCATTCTGACCGATTTTCCCTGAATTTAGATTAAACAATGTACCATAAGTTGGCTTCAGTTAATCATATCCATATCACCACTGCATTTTAGTTACTCTCAATCTCTTCAATAAAAATCCTTCAAGCCACTTCAAAATAATTTCAAACAAAGACAATTATGATCATTTTCAGTTTCCCAGTGACTTAATAAACATGAACAAAACAACACAAACAAGTAGCAATTTAACCGAAAAATAAAAAGACATTCTCGGGCATTTGAAAATCATAAAACCAGTTTCAACTCAACATAAATTGTGACTGAGAGATATCATCCTATAAGCAAATACATAAATTACCTCTCGTCGCAAACAGATAAAAGGATGCGACTACTTTATTCAATTAGCATCAAACAATAAACATACTCATGGATTTATACACTAGAAGGGATGATTAATACCGTGAAAATTGAAGCCTCTTGCAAGCTCAAGGATGAATGCTCATCCGAGAAAGGGTGAAGCATTCTCGAGCCTTTTCCCGAAAATTGAGGAACAATGAGGCTCATGGTATCCGCCTTGACATCAGTCAACTTCTGCAACTCATCGCCTAGCTCCTTGAGATTCGCATTAGAATCCATTTCCACCATATACTTGTTTCCTCTCCATATAACAGTCACATTCACCATATTTGGTTGCTCTTCCATGTTGCACTACAATATTAAACAAAAAAAGAAAACAAGAGAAACTTTTAAAAGGCAAAATATTTTCATAATCACAAACACTTTAAAAAAATCCAAACAAATAGCTAGCTTCAAATTGAAGTCTTTTTAAATAAAGGCGGTTGATTTAACAACGAAATTAGAGCACCCACATCACCATTTACATGTTAAACGAATAAAAACCCAAAATTTATTGTTGAATTGAACAAATTCTTACAAACAATTTGAACTTTAACATAAAGAATTAAGGATGATAAATAAAAGATCCAGATTGAGAATTTCGATGGGTTTTTTTGCTTACCTGAGGAATTGATGGGTATTTTCTCTTTCGGAGAAGGGAATATTCTCCTTGAGGATCGATTAACATGAAGAAGAAGAGAAAATAGAAAATATTTGTAAATTGTGGGCTTTTTATTTTTGCTTATATATATAGGAATGGGGTTGCGTTGGATACTAATTTTAACGTGTTTTTTCTAAAATGCGCGGCTGTGTTGGGTCTTTCTGACGCATTTGCTGGCGTCCGCCAACCGGGAAGAATCTGGAACTCAAAGATGATATGTTCGTATATGAAAGATTTTTTTTTATAGTTCTGATATTCTTAAAATACGGTTAATAAAAATAACGGAAATGTTAACATTTTTTAATATTTTTAATAAAACATTACTTAAAATATTTTTTTATTAAAAATATTAATTTCGTTACCTAATTTTTTATAGAAAAATAATATTTTAGATAGTGTCTAATATTAACATTTACAGTAGAAAAAATATTTTAGGTAAATATTTATCAAAAATGTTGCACCAATATTAATATTTTTGATAAAAAAATGATGTTTTAGGTAACGTTTTATCAAAAATGTTAAAAAAATATTAATATTTTCGATAACACCTTTCTTTAGCTATCTAGGGATGGATATGGGACCCGAACACAATTCGACTCAATCGGGTCTAAACAAATTCGGGTTCAGGTTAGGTTTTTTAAGGTGATGTTTAGGTCAGATCGAATTCGGGTTTTGAGTGAAAATTACCCGACCCAACCTGAAAAAAAATATAACTTTATCTTATATATTTAAGAATAATTACAATAATATCTCTCTATATATTATTTTTTTCAATTAAATCACTATTTTTATTGAATAAAAATAATATTTTTTATTATTTCGAGTTCGTTGAGTTTGAATTAGATTTTATCTCAAAAAATCGGATCAAATTCAAATAGGATGAAGGGTATATATTTTTCAGGTCAGGTTGACCCAAACCCGACCCATGCCCATCCCTAAGGCTGTCGTGCCCGTACCTAAGACATCCCCTAGATTTTTTGATATGGTATATTTTTTTAATCCAAGGAGAATTCATAAAAACTAAAAATAAAAAAGTATACAACCAAAGAGAATATAGCATTCCAACAATAATAAACGTCCCGATAAAAAAAAAATCCATCTTCAATCCTGTCACCCACACGTTAGATATCACTCGAAGTATTGTTTATATCACTGGACTTTCAACTGCTTTCATTCCTTGATCTTCCTAACCGGGTCTGTGTAACTTCCCTTGATGCCGGTTCATCCTCATCAAAATTTCAAACATTTAGCAAAAGATTTCATTGTTTCAATTCTGCATTTTTCAAGAATTATGGTACGGGGTATAATCATCCGAATATAATAAGAAGAAAAAAGATAAACATACAAGTGCCGGAAACATACCCATATATGATATTCGCTTCCGGGTATGAGTAACATAGATGCTAACCTTCATCTCTGATTGTAGCCAAGTATGGTGGATGCTGCAATCATACTTGGACTATAACTGGGAGGCATCCGCCTCGTACCTGTTCTGGTCGAAGGGCGGATAAGTTTCATGACCTTCTCAGCAGCTACAATTTGTTGCTGTTGAAGTTCTACATTGTTCATCAATTCCCTGCAAGGAGTCAAATCTCACCAAGTTAAGAATCATGAGTCACGACCCTCCATTTTTATCGACACGATAAATATAGAAGAAAGAATCAATCTCATCGATATAGAACAGTTTCTAAATTTTGTTCAATTATAACTAAGAAAAAACCCATGCCTGTAGAGTAAAAGTTGCTTACTTTAGCAGGAATGCTACTTTTGCAGGCGTACATGCTTGAAATAGTGATTCCGGAATAACCGGAGAATCCAAGAGGATATTGGGAAGTGAGATGCATGGTATCTTTGCTTTGAAGCGAATGAACCATTCGGTAAGGAAATGAGCTCTATAAGTAACTAAACAAGGTAACCTCGCGAGCTGCAACTCCATAGCAACAGTTCCGGACGTACATAAGGCAACTCGGCTTGCCTGCAAAGAAACTAATGAAGTTTTGATAGCATTCAAGTCCATGAAATTCAAATTACTAGGTGCAAGAGGCTTTTTCCTTGATCCGAGTCATGTCTCAAAACCCTGTCAACTCAACATATCTATTGTCTCATTAAGTTCTGTAAACAAATGTTGCTTAACCAGGCTTACAATTACATGGAGTAACATAGAAGATTAACTAATACCAGAAAACCAAGTTCCAAGAAAACATTTTTTTTCATAAGCACCCACAGCAATTTTTATATCAAACATTTCGGAAATATGTTTACTATAGCTGCGACCGTGAGCACTGAAAGACTTACGGTGAATGCATCGTATTTCAGGAGTGGGGTTCCTCCTGGAATCAATATGGAAGGTACAGGCCAATTACTAATGGCCCTAGCAATATAGTTGTCCACTAGTTGATTTGGAGCCACATTGATTACTGATATCAGCTCAGGGAAAGACTCTTTTAGTAGTTTCATAATGTTTGAAAAGATGGGAAGCATTCTAGTGACCTCTTGTAATCTGCTTCCGGGTAGCAAGGTAATAACTGTCGCTCCTTTACAAAACACAGATAGAGCATAATTAAGCATATGTTCCCAGAAGGCATACACAAAGAAAACACACAAGCACACAAAAAGAAATGAATGCAAACAAAATCCAAATTCTAATACATTGCAGTGTTTTTTCAGCTTTCGGTTAATCTGAAGAACTTCAAAAAAACAACAGTATAACATAAGAGTTAAACCTCAAGTTGGACTATAGATGCTATAAATACCAAACTGATGAATTGTAAAAGACAGTGCAGAAACCAGAAGTCCAGAGTGAAGGTTTTGAAGTGGCGACATAAAAATTAGAAAACTTAAGAGTGTACCATCACAATCAAGTTTGAAATAGAAAAACTATCGAGTTTCCAGATCTTCATTAGGTTAATCTTCACGTTACCTGAAGGTATGGCATATTTTTTTCGAAAATCTTCACCATTTCCAGTTATCTTCCACTCATGTAATGCGGTTTCCTTTCCCTAAGCATAAATATTTCTTCTTTGTTAATTCTAAAATAACTATGCATTCACATGCCAATAGGCACACATGTACTCTTTACACAAAATGTACTTGGAGAAAGAAAAAAAAACAAAGGTTTTGAAGCTTGAACTCCCAGTAAAGTTTTAGGAAACAGAACCATCCCATAATTTAACATTCATAAGAGAAGATAAATGATCCTGGAACATATCATGACAGCAGAATATGAATCCATACCATGTTTAGTTCTAAAACATCTTCCAGAATGGGATGACCAACAAAGGTCGCAGCCAGTCCATTTGATTGACAAACTGCTTCCTCATTCGGAAGTATACAGAACAGATGGTCCACAAATTTAGATAGGCCTTTGAGTCTTGCTTCACCTCCTTTCCATGCCCAGAACGATGGTGCTACATAATGAAAGTGTATTGGTCCGTCTGCCCTTTCGTGACCACATCTTGCTGAATAAAAATAGTTTCAGGCACATCATATCAAACAGACAATATGCAAATACATAACACTTGATCCCAACTCCAAGACATCGGTGATATTACCCCGCAACTGCTTAAGGAGACGGAAAGAGAATCCCTTGGAGTCCACAGTCACAACCACATGAGGCCGGAACTGCAATGCAGCCTCCACAGTTTCCTTCAACTTTACCTGACATTTCATTGAATTCGAAAAATCAGTAGTTTAGTAAGAAGTCTTATAATAGAGGTTCAATTAAATTGGTCTCAAACTACTCACTCTGAAATTAAAGAGGTGTGGTAATAATTCCCAGATTCCCATCACTGCAATATTCTCCATGGGGAACAAGGATTTCAGGCCTTGATTGTACATCATTGACCTCAAAGATACATAGACAAAACTTTAGAATAAATACCATGCGGATTCGGATTACTAACATCCAAATAATTCGAGTTTATGAATTGTCCAAAACTAGCCAAATTTAAAGGAAACGATCGACAGTTAAAAAAATAAACTTACCCGCCTACACCGGAGAAGCGGATGGGAACCGGAGAGATCTTCTTTAAGGAAGCCATAAGACGAGAACCAATTGTATCTCCACTGACCTCTCCTGCAACAATGAACACTCTTAGCTCACCTTCCATGGCGGCTCTGTCTATTAGCGATGTGCTTGGAACCCATAAATATCTCCTCTTCAAACAAATGCAACTATTAAATAACTTCACACACCGAATCGCTGGCAACGACATTGATGCACGCTGTATAAAATTTTCGGAAGTGCAGAGTGCTGAAACACTATTCGGCGGTTCAGTTGATTGCATTTCGAAGTGAGAAGGAATGAAGGTAAATGACCGAACAAACTTTGGAGCCAACAAGGCCCATGTCTTATGCTAACATGGACTCGCATCCATGGGCTGCATAATATTAAAACATTTGTTTTCGGGGAATATCAGAAATTTGATAACTTATAAGCCAAATATTTTGTGCTTTAATGGACTCACATCCATGGGCTGGATGATATGAACCTTCTGATCAACCCATTCAAGCATATGCTTGAAAATCTTAATGAAATTGGACTGCAACCATAAACAACTTCAATCAAATTCCAGATTCCATCTAGCAAATATAACAACGACTGAATTTAAATGGGGGGGCGGAAACATAAGATATCTTGAAAGAGGCAGAGCAAATGAAAGCCACTTTGTTTGTTGAGGGAAGCCATTAATGTTTGAGATAAAGATTTTCAGACTGTCATTTTCCCACCCCCATGCAATGCACCCTTTAAAGTTTACAACTACCCTTTCACGTCTCTCTCAACACACCAACCAGATTTCTCCTCCCTTCCAAATAAATGAAATTTAATGGACAACTTAATTACTCATGAATATGATCAGGTCCTGCCTTCTAGAATAATGGCTTGGGTGTTCTCACCTGCCAACCTTTCAATTTCATCTATTATATTCAAACCAGATTTTTATGGCATCAAATATTTTAGGGTAAACTACATGTTTAGTACCTAAACTATCAATTTTGATCTGTTTTAATACCTAAACTTTCAATTTTTTCAAAATCATATCTAACGTTTAGTTTTTGTTTCATTTTAGTATCTCTTTTCAAAACTTAACGTTAAGTTTTGAAAATTTTGAAAGTTTAGGTATTAAAATGGACCAAAATTGATAGTTTAGGTACTAAACGCTTTAAGTTTTTAATGGTGGAGTATTAAAATGAAACAAAAATTTAAACATTAGGTAGAATTTTGAAGAAGAAACAAATAAAGTTTAGGTACTAAAATAGACCAAATTTGATAGTTTAAGTACTAAACGTGTAGTTTATCCAATATTTTAACATAATTGTTATTTTAATATCAAGTGGTAATTCACATTTTAATCACTGATTTGTTTAATTTTCTCATTTTTTCATGTTTTATAGAAATAACTACAAATAGTAGGTGGTGCAGAAGATACAACTCTTAAATATTTCCCACCAAACCTGGCCTCCTCCTCCGTATCAAACATTAAAAACAGTTACTATTTATATTTTTGGATTAAACTTTGGAAAAGTTGTAATTTTAAAACCTTGAAATTCAGTTTCCTAAGCCCCTCAGTTCTGCTTGCAGTGAAGGTGAAATGTCTTGTTGCAGTAGTAGTACATTTTTCTTTGGCTCTTCGTATCTTTATCTCTATCACTTTTCACTGCAACCAAAGCTAAAGTCCCAGACATCGTAGTGTTCGGAGATTCCTCTGTGGATTCGGGAAACAACAACGTGATTTCCACGCTTTTGGACTGAAGCTTTTGGACTGAAGCCAGCCATCCCAGCTTACTTGGATCCAGCTTACAATATATCCGATTTCGCCACCGGTGTTTGATTTGCTTCCGCCGGAACTGGTTACGACAATGCAACCTCCAAAGTGCTCGTAAGTTTTAAACCATTACATACATAAATATATACATTTGAGTAAGAGGTCAATGAAGTTCATTTATTGATTTGCAGAATGTTATCACATTATGGAAGGAACTAGAGTATTATATAGAGTACCAGCGACAACTGAGAGCATACGTGGGTGAAAAGAAGGCTAATATAATTCTGAGAGAGGCGTTGTATTTGATGAGCTTAGGGACGAATGATTTCCTAGAAAATTACTACACTTTTCCCACCCGAAGATCCCAGTTCTCGGTTCGGCAGTATCAGGATTTCCTGCTGGAACTGTGCGACAACTTCATAAGGGAACTCCACGGTCTCGGCGTTCAGAAACTGTCGATCACCGGCCTTCCTCCGATGGAGTGTTTGCCGTTGGAGAAAGCCACCAATATCTTGGGCCAAAACGACTGTGTGCCTGAATACAGCAATGTGGCATTGGAATTCAACAGGAAACTTGAAGGTTTGGTCGGGAAACTGAACAAAGAGCTTGCTGGAATGCGAATGGCGTCTGCACCTGCGTATGATATTTTCTATCAGATTATTACCAAACCTTCTCAGTTCGGTAAGTTTCTGTTTCGTTGCGTTTTCTTTTATTTCAAGACTGCACCATTCGAACAAAGAATATTAATGAATATCGGAGATTTAAGTAGCGAATTGCTGTTATATAACGATAATGATGTTCTCATAATTATTTTTGTGTGATTAAGATACCGCAGTCACCACGATAACATCTGTAAAACACGAGTACAACCACCGTCTGAATGGGTTCGCAGCCGCTGGACCACTAACTTGTGCCTTAATTAATCACTTGAAACTAATCAAATAGTAGAGAATCCTTTTTAGGGCAGCTTTTATCTGCACCTCCACATTAGGTGTTAGGACCCTATTCCATAATATTCAACCAAGCTTTTGTCTTTAATCTCATTCAAATTTTATATATACTTTAACGAAGGCTTCGTTAGTCCGTTTTTATAGGTTTGATTTATTGACCTTCAAAGAAAATTTAATCATTTTTCTTGGATTTTGTAAAACGAATACCTTCAAAAGGTTAAATCTACTATTAATTAAATTTCAATATTATATTTAATATCTCTTCAACTTTTAACAATTTATAAATTCAATACAGGAACAATTTAATTTTTATATATCTAAAAAATATGTAAATAAAATTACTTTTTTTCATTAATACATATATGTACATCATTACAATTGGCTAAAATTTTAATAAATTTATGTAATATTCAATACAATTGAAAATTTCAAAATTTAATCATATCATTTGGCTCACTGTAATCGATATAATTATGTTTTAGAGCATCAAATATATATTTAATGTGATTAAATTATATTACATTAATGTAAAAATCACATTAATTATATTTTTTTATTTAATACCACAATTGTATAGAATTAAATGATTTGATGTGATTTTATATCACAATTGTATTAAATTCTACATTGTAAGAAGTTTGATTATTACAGTATTCGAGACTGGCTCGGAGAAATATAGCCATACACCAGCTTGGATACATTTAATGTGATGAGACAATGGCTATAACTTCATAGACACTATAATTATCAAATATATTTAATTTGCCATTCAAATTTTTTATTTAATCAAAAAATATATAGGTTATTTTGATGATGACAATGATATATTTGCATGGATTTGTAGGGTTTGAGGTGACGGACGTGGCATGTTGCTCGACGGAGAATATTAAACGTATAAAAGTATTATATTTTTTACCCTTTTATCTATAATTATTTGTTAGATTTAAGTTCATTCTAGTTACATTATTAGTTATTCATGCATAATTTCATAGTTGTTGATAACTCTCCAAAAGAGTTATCTTTAGGAGCACTTTTAACCTAAGTTTAGTTTGATCTTAAGCATTTTTAGGAGCATTTTAGGATTAGTTTTAATTAGTTCTTATGATTCTTCATTTTTATCTTTTGTGGGTTGCTTAGGGTTAAAAATGAATTTTAATGCTGAAAATGTGCACTGACGCAGTAGCATTACAGGAAATGTTGTGGAACATCTGATGACTCAGCTGACAGTTATGGAATTCTCTAGAATGGGACAGTTATCCTGGGCAGCTGTCAAAGGGCTAGATCCTATTCGAAACGTGGCAACAGACCATTGGAGGATCAAATTTACTCTTCACCTATAAATAGAGTACTAGCCTGCTCATTTGAACGCAAACCGAGTACATCACATTTCGAGAAAAAATCCACACCTCTACCACCATTTTCTTCACTCGATGGAAGCCTAAGCCTTCTGCCAGGGATTGTTGTAGTAGAAAGGGAGCTCGTCAAATAGCATCGGTCGTCAGCAAATCACTGTTCGAGCATTTCATCGAGATAAGGGAGTGTTTGAATGTACTTAAATTTGTATTGGATGATATTTTGGATTTATGGTTTTATGCTACTATGATTCTGTTTCTATGAGGTTGGATGATTAGATTATGAATAGAAATATTTGTAATCAATGAATGGTTATTTTAAATACTTCTAGAAATAGATTCATTTAACTTGCCATATACTTTTGATAGCCTAGTTGATTCTGAGTAGCATTGTGCATACTGAAAAGTAGGCAGCCTAGTATTAGCCTTGTTAAAATGTTGAATCTTTGATTTATGAAAGTGAAATCTTATTCATTGTTTGTTTGAAACTTGAATCCCTTAATACTTCCAATTTCCATTCGATAGTTGACTTGTCGCTCTCTGTAATGTTGTAGCATGAACTCAAGTTTTACATTTTGATTTTATTTTATCGCCGTAAAACAATCAATCAAAATTTCTCTTTTTTTAAACTCTATTGAAAACCACCTGCTCTCTACGGGATCGATACTCGTAACTTAACGGTTACCACTTTTATTACTTGATTTGCGACACGTGCATTTGCGTTATTGCTATAGCATTTTACACAACATCAATTTCCTTCATCGTTAAGTTTGATATTACATTGTGGTTGATTTTGTGGAAAATATATTGTTGGTGTATGTTAATTTGTACAGGGAAATATTGACTGGATAAATTCACCTCATCTAAGTAAAACTCCACAAAACAAGGGATAAAGCCTAGAAGTTTGGATTTCTACGCAGAATTTAAAGAGGAGAAGAAATCTTGTTTAAAAGATAAAGATAAAAGAGAATTAATATCTTTTTTGTTCCAATTAAAACTCTCATTCTACAAGAATTCAAGGGACCAAATCATCTCCTATAAAGAGGAATCAGGACACAATACAAGAAGAGGTGTTGCGTGTTGTGAGTACTATAAAATATACGCAAATAATGTGCAAGTATACACAATCGCTCAAGTAATATAATGATGAGTGAGTATCGTCTCCACAGGGATTGGGTGAAATCACAAAAGTCTAACCAAAGCAATGCAATATTCTATCTAAGT